GCTATTAATAGTCGAAATTTTTTTTCTGTTATAAAAACTTTTCCTGAAGGTATCACTTCCTAATACGAAAATGATCTTTGAGATTCGGCTGATTGATCTGTGAATAAAAATTCGGTTGTTGTCCTTATGGTTTTTGTAAAATAGTTTCAAATTAGATTAAATTTCGATTTCGATTTCTAATTTCGCTAGGGACATTTTGATTTTCTCTATCATGTATGTTCAGACTTCTAAATAAAGATTTCGGATTCTAGGATTGTTATTATTTAAAGAAATGAATAAGCTATATAAGCAAAAATGTTATTTATTAATTCCCGAATTTCGAGACTAAATTCTCAATTTCGATCCTAATTATTAATTTCGATTTCGGTTTCGAAAACTCGTGTGATTTTCGCCACATGTATGGAAAATAAGAATCTATTTCGCACATTATTGTTTGCATATATATCCATGCAATTAACCATCATTGTTGTCATTATAATTATAATTATCATTATAATTATAATTATTGTCATTATAATAATAATTATTATTATTGTAATTATTATTATCGTTATTATTCAATATGCTCAATGAATCCAACATAGCGGACCTTTCTGTGATTTGCTGATGCGTAATGAAATTGGGTGATTTTTATTACTAATTAATATGTCGTTATCTTTAAGGACAATTAAAATCATTTTCAAGACAATAAAATAAATTCACTAGCAGTATTTTATATCATAATTCATAATATAAAATTCACTTATAGTTTGAAGCAACACAAACACCTCTATACCAAAATAATCTCTAAATGACAAAATCACAAACTTTAAGGAAAAAAAGTATCTTCCACGTTGAATTAAACATTTTTATTCATAAACGATATATTTATAGGATGTTGAAAGCTTGCATTAAACTTTTCTTCTTCTAACATTCATTTCCTAGATTATACAACATAAAAAAATTACACATTAATTCTTTTGCTTAATGAAAAAATTTCTTTCAACATCGGTAACAATACATTCGTTCATTCAACATACTCGCCATTGACGTAATAATATTCATACCTTTTTTTGGTCTAATAGATTCAAGTGTATTGCTATCATCCCTTTACACAAAATATTTTTTCAAATGCAAGAATTATATTAATATTATTTGTCCACGTTTTTTTTTTTATGGTTGAGTTGTTATAATAATCTCCATTTATCGGATTACTTTTAGTATATTAGGCTTTATAATGGTATATTAATATGTACAAAAACTTTTTGGTGGATGCAAAGTCAGATGGTTGAAATTTTTTAACAAAAAAAGGGTTTTTTGGAAAATTAAAAAAAAAGATCTGCATTTCATTAAGCAAAGTGGGTATGGTTCTAAGCTAAAATTAATCTCTATTACGATAAAATGCATATAATGGTGATACTAGCTCGCAATTGGTTTGTCCATCAGCAATTCCAAATTTGTCACAAGATTTATCAGGCGATGGGGTGAACAACAAAAAAAATTAACCCCAAATTTATTCAAATATTAAATTTGTATTAACAAATAAATCAATTTGCCGAAATAAATATGCATGTATTAATGTCGAGGACTTAAAAGTAAAATAATAAAAAAAATCCCGAAATCTCATGATCAATGTAAAGTTTTCCTTTATTTTTTTTTTGTATATATAAAGTAAATAAATATATGAATTCCGCCGAGGTCATTTATCAAAAAAAATAATATATAATGGCCAAGAAATTATCTACCTCTCCCGTTCTTTCCTCTCTCTATATTTCCTTCGAACTACATATTAATATATAATTCTGTAATCAATTACAACAAGATCATTACTATTGGCCCAACATTTTACTTGCATAATATCCACAATTATTTAAAACCTTTACCACAATTAATAACCTTATAAATATGATTGCTGTAATAGAAACCGAAAACCAAGCATTGAGATGGTTGAATAAAGCTAAAAGAAATGAATTTCTTGTATTTGAAAATAATTACGACACATTCACAAAAGAAAAAATAATCGAAAACTCACCTGATATCGTATTAAAAAAAGTTTATTCAAATAAAATACAAAGAAGATTTTCTTTATTGAATTTAAAATTAAATGATTTATACACAATTAAAGAATTTGTTAAAGAGGTTTTTGTTTTTTTTTGTTTGTTTGTTTGTTTTGTTATTTTGAAGTTTTTTCTAACGTTAAATAAATCATTTTTAGTTACAAGATCATCAAAGAATTCAAAATCATGAAAACATTATAAATTTTTATGGAATATTTGAAGGTATACTGCGACGACGTAATTTAATCTCCATCTTTATTTACATTTTAATTTCAATTAATCTCAATTCAAAAACTAAAAAATTTACAATAGACTCGACTCAAGAAAATATTTATTCGTTAATTCTTGATTATACTAAAGACAATTTGCACGAATATCTAAGCACTAATGATTTGTCATGGACACAAAAATTAAAACTTGCTAAAGAATTAACATCTGCATTATATTGCTTACACGTTAATAATATCGTTCATGGTGGCCTGGTATTTATCATTGTCTCCATTTTTTTAAAATTTTTACGAAATAATTAATCTCTTCTTTATATGATAATAGACATCTAAAAATATAAACATCCTTAATGGTAGTGTTAGATTACATAATTTTGGATCATTTAAACGATTAATTCGCCCAAATCAACAACATTTCTCTCATTATTTCAACTCAATACAATATTTGGATCCTCAATATTTAAAAAATCCGGAAAAGCAATGTTTTATAGAAGATCAAAAAAAAGCAGATATTTACAGTCTTGGTATATTATTTTGGGAAATTTCAAGTGGAAAAATTCCCTTTGAAAATAAATATATCGAAGAACCATGTAAATTATGTTACATGATTGTTTATGAAAATCTTCGTGAAGAACAAGTTAAAGATACTCCGGAATTTTATGAAAAACTTTATAAAAGTAATTATTTTTGTTGTTGATGTTGCTGCTGCTGTTGTTTGCAAAATGTATAGATAATTAATTTTTCTTTTAAAAATTAGGCTGTTGGAGATTTGAATCTGAGGAACGTCCTGATATTGAACAAGTTTTAGAATGCATTAAATTAAATTCACCTATAGATTATAACAATTAATTATTATATTTTACTTTTTTAATTTTATATAATTATAAATAATATTTCTTAATAATAAATAATTTGTTTAATTTTTTTAATACATATAATGATCTTTGTGGTTTTCTGGTTCAGAAAATTCATTAAAATCGAATGTTCTACTAATATAAAATGCATCTTTATGAGGAATGTAACTTGATTCAATTTGAATGTTATCAAATGGTTCGAAACTCTTCCTAAGAACAACAGTTTCTTCCCGCCTGTCTGGATAAAGACTATGACCAAATAATGAATCATACCAGAACCCTAATATCTCGTCCAATTCATCAAAAGTTGGCCTTTTTCCTGGATTCGCATCAAGACATTGTTTAGCCAATCGGAAGTAATTCGGTGGAGTGATTCTAGTATTTATATCCGGTCTCAATCCATTCTCGCAAATTTCTTTAGCCAAATTTTCGTCATGTGATTTATCATAAAATGGTGGTTTTCCGGTAGTCATTTCGGTCATTATCACGCCAAAACTATAAACATCTGATTCTTTGGATTGTGGTTGTCCGTGCAGTACTTCTGGTGCAATATATGGTAAAACTCCAGATAACACATTCCTATTACTATTAGTTCTAACATCCGATGAAAATCCAAATCCTGCAACATATGTATGGATTCGATTTGCTTTAATTTTTACTAAAATATTCCCACAATGAAGATTGCGATGAATACATCCTGTACGATGAATTCTTCTCATACCAGTTGATATGTTGAAAAGAATTTCGATCCTACTTGTCCAATGGGATTGTTGAGATTCCAGGGATTCTTGGATTTTATTATCCAGAGAATTTCGTAGATTAGCTTCTTTATAATCCATAACTATTATATAATTTTTGGTTTCTGGATTCTGTGTAATACCATATAATCTTAATAATTTCTGTGTGATACTCTTTTGATCTTCATAGAAGCATTGAAAATGAGCTTCAATCTATTATATGTGTGCAAGGTATACACATGATATTTACGAAATATAATGTGTATTAGTATTAATATGTGTGATAAATGCATTAATTTAGATTTTATTTATATTATTATTCATTTACCTTTGATAAAAAATCATTGGATATATCATAACCATTTTTTAATTCTTTCATGGCGACATCAACTGATTTGTGTTTACTTTTAACATTCCCTTCACAGTATCTCAATCCATTTTTCCATTTGGCATGATATACAACTCCATAGCCACCTCCACCAATTCTTTCGATAATTTCAAGATTTTCATAAGGAATGTATTCGAGAAATGGGTCATTGTAATTATCCGCTTGCTTTATATTGTTTAAGATAAATTCCCTTATGGATTCATTTTCGACATTCCAACTCCTAACTAAGAATCCTGGATCGCATGTTTTACACCATTGTCTTCCTGTGTTGGGTTGATTACAATATAAACAAATGCCATTATCCATTTATTCTTTGTTTTAAAAATTTGAGGAAGAAAAATATTTTTTGACAGAAAAAAATAATTATTATGAATATTTAATAAATACACATTAAGTGATTATTTATTTGCGGTGTATAATTTGTTATCTATCAATCTTGTAATGGAATTTTTTCTTTTTGTGTGATTATTATTTCTCTTTCACATACCATATCTGTCGGAATACATATAATTTCTAAATTTTACATAATAGTGTATGTAACACGATTTTGCAAAAAAAATAATACATATGGCTATCTTTGTAATTAATAAGCCTTGTAAAGTTCTAAATTTGTACTAGTTAAAACTACGCATCTATATTGTAAAATACAATTTCTCCATGAGTAGATGTTTTTTCATCTAGTTGATAAGAAAAAATATAATATTTTAT